TTAAAATTTAATAAGTTTAAATATTACCAAAGTCAAGAACTGTGTATTTATTACTAGTTTGGCAAAGCATTTTTTGTTTTATTTATTAGTCTGCGTTATTGACTAAATAAAAAAAAATCTCCTAATCCTCCAATTTAAAACCCAGTTTTAAAAATGTTTAGAATCAAAATATAGATTTTTATTTTGAATAACCTCTTGTATGTCCAGGCCAATTTTCATGGATCTAATCCCAAGAGTTCCCAGAACCTCTTTGACCACCCATATAGAGTTCACAGTTTGAAAATTTTCAAAATCTGAATTCAGATTGTTTTGAATGGCTCATTATTTATTAATACACATTTTCAAATATATATATGTATATACAATCAGTCAGGCTTGAGCGTCTCCACATTTGTAGCTGTTCATGAATTTTTCAATATTTGTTTATATTCTTCAAGGGTCAAGAGCCCACACGTCAAATTTCAAGTTTTGTCAGTAACTGTGGGAAGAGCTCGAAAATCAAGTCAATGCAAACACATAAAATTCAGCTTCACTATAGAAAGTCATTAAAAAGGACATTTTTTAAAAGTTAAATTTCAGTTTTCTAGGATTACTTGCAATGAACTGATGCAAAAAAATACATTTCTGTATGGGTTATTGTTTTAGGATTTTCATGAAAAGCTACACAAAGGGCTATCTGCACGTAACCATCTTAAATTTTGAAATGATGAATTATAGAAAAGGCAGCTACTCAATAGCAATCACCACCAACTCTTGTCTGATTAAATAGGGGAATTGAACCATCACACTTATAATGCACCCATAGCCAAAAATTCTAAGTGCATCTTTACAGCAGTAGGAAGAAAACCATGAATCCTTGCATTTATAGCCCAGCTATGCTAACCACTAGGCCACATCTGATCCTACATTGAATTGCAGTTAATTTACATCACTTTTTTAACATTTTGTGTGTGTTGGGTTACATAACAACCTTATTTATTCTTACTTGTATGAATTGTGCTGGAAGCTTGAAAGATAGATCATGAGAAAAATATGGTCATCCCATTTTGTTTATTGGAGACTACATCTAGCTCCATTTTTAGAGTACAAACAATATATTTTGTATACTTTATAGTGACATAACATACTTGTAAATATTTTGAATGGAAAATCTTTAAATAATAAATAATTTTAACAGGCCCCTCACAAGCCAGTGGGGGACATTTTTGTTGAAAAAAAAAACTACTTGTCAGTGCATCACGAGCTTAATGGCCAAGCATGAAAGTCTCCAAATGATACGCAGAGGTATTCAGGATCCATTTAGAACCACCTTGGTAGATATTGTGCAGCAAGCCGAGTATAATATTATGCCTGTAGCTGCTTTCAAAGTGTTTCTGTCTACTCATCTTACCACTGACTATTGTGATGCTTTGCCCATGAACAAATAATGGTGAAATGGGCAGCAGTTAGCCAGTTCAACATGACACTTTTGGAAAAACCCTTGGAGGACTAATTTACAAAAGTAGTTTAGGTGAATTGGACAATGTTTCAAAATATTTCCGATAGTTAACTGAAGTCACGTTAATCAAGTTTATTAATTTTGTGTTATTATCTTATTCATATTTTGTTTTCACTATCAAAACCTGCTGAAATAGTTGTGTACTTTATTCAAGTAATAATCTTTCATTTTAACCAAGGTTATTTGTGTTATGGCACAGGAAGAGCTGAAATTGTGTGTGTATATACATAAGGGTGTATGTTAGTTTACAAACGTACAGTACTAAAATGTGGGATTCAATTCCTTGCAATGGACAGAGCACAGATAGCCCATTATGTAACTCTGTGCTATTGGCAAGAACGACAGTGATGTGTATTGGACTTACAAGAATTGAACCCTAATTATGTTACAGTAGTTTAATACTAAAGTGATTAGACTTGTTAATCACACTGGCCTTATATATAAACCTAAATTGAACAAACATAAAATGGGCATCATCCAATCATTTTACATCAAACCCAATCTTCCTGAATACCATATAAACCCATGCAAGCTGACCTAAAAATTAAAGACTGAACACACCATGACAAATATGGTATACCAACACTTTCAGAAAGGTACATTACCATGTATTAAAATTAAATACACAGAGATACTATGAATGTATAGTTCTTTCAATAAAAAGTTACATTACGATGGAATAATGTGTATTTAAAAGACATTCTTCCTACAAAATCAACATTAAAACCTTCCAACTGATTGGTCCTCTGAAGTGACTTGTAACTTACGTGTCTCAAAATAAATCACCCATACAAAAGTTAGATTGTTTATTTTTAATTTCATTTGAGTGTTATTTTTTCAGACTTGTAAAATATGATTCTTTTTTCAATGGAGCTCTGATTTAATAATAAAACTATATCGTTTTTTGGGATGATTATTATTTTTTTTTTCATAATTTTTATTTTCCCTTTCTTCATAGTTTATGGGTATTTTATATATTTACTCAACTTTCCTTTGGTCTAAATAGACATTAATACTATTGCTAAGCAATTAGCAACTGATCTAAAATTTGTAATTTGCAAGTTTAGATTTCTGAAAAGGAGCAATAGGAATATGAGAAAATATATGGTGCAGATACAAATTACTACTATCAGTAAACAACTAGAAAGTGTTAGGAGAAGCAAAATAATGTACAGATCATAACTTCATTATCAACCAGTCATTATACTTCCTCGGCTGGTCAGAGATACGAGTGAAGGAGGAGGAAAAGTTATGTTCATAATATGCTTAAAATAGCTAATCAAATAGATTGTTAACCTTTGACAGTGTAATTATATAGGATTCTCTGTATAATAATACATTTAGCCTGTTTTATAAAATTACATCAAAATTGCACTTTGATGAATAAAGCTGTTGTAAACGTATAGCTCTTCCCAGAAAAATAATGAACATGAAACTGTAGGTTTTAATAATTATATTGGTTACCACTTTTTTTATGCTTAGTCCAAAAATGTGCCAAATCTGAATCTTGGCAAGTACCGGATCAACTGTAGATGTAAATATCAAATATATATGAAAATCATATTGTAAAGGATAACTAAAATACATTTTCCTTGCTGCACAGATGAACAACTTAGTATAAAAAAAAAACATTAATTGAATGGCCTCTTAGACTAAATCAAAAACAATACAGTACAAGTTCCTTAACTGATAGGCTGCACATGTGTTTATTTTTTTAAATTTGACAAACTCACAATGTACTTTATGACCAGTTCAAAACATCGCTATATAATGCTTCCTCAACTTGATACTATTAGAGTTCTATGATATGAAAGAATATCACAAAATTAAAACTAACAAAGTTTTCATCCTCATTAAGAAAGTTGTATATTACACAACATGAACTTGGTTCCTGAATGCTTAATTTTAAAATTAAGGTAGTTAACAGTTATAACATTTGAAGTTTGTACTATGCTATGAATAACAATAATCCATTGAATTGCCAAATTATTAAGACCCTACCTAATATTCTGCACAACAGTAATTCAGACCAACAGCTTGTGTTTCTGTGTTCCCTAAGTAAGGGAGACAAAAGCCAGTATGGGTGCAATCTCCATGCAGTGTAAATAAAGGAACACTAGTGTGTTGGGGTTGGCCACATCTTCACCAGCAAGATCTCATAACAGGTGATTTCTAAAGTAAAAGTTTCAGAGTTTGAAATTATAAAAATAGAGATAGTAATTGAACCAGACTGAGTGGACATTTAACAAAAAAGAGAATTATTTAATGCTCTATATACAACTATGATAACCTATAATGTAAAGAGTTTATTTTTGCAAATGCACTTGACTTGTTTTGAATATATTATTTTAAAACAAGTGGATTGTGTGCTGTCTCTTTATTGTTGAAATTTATCACCAAGTCAGAGACACCTACTG